GGGCCTGCACTGGGTCGCATAGGAGCTCACCAGTGAGGAGACAGGAGAGCACATGCCAGGGGAGCACCCAGCCTCCTGCCGACCGGAGACCTGTCCCAGAGCCCAGGAGGCTGCAGAAGCCTCTCCAAGGGGGTCACTGTGCACATCTGGTACCTAAGCAGCCCCCCTTAATCCCCAGTCCTGGGGGCCACTGGCACAGCTGTCTGGACCCTCCCTGTTCCCTGGGAAGCTCCTCCTGACAGCCCCGCCTCCAGTGCCAGGTGTGGTTATTGTCAGGGGGTGTCAGGCTGTGGGGGATACAGTGGGTACAGTTACCACAGTGGTGCCACCATAGCAGCAACCAGGCCAAGTAGATGGGCCCCTGCCGCGCAGCCCCAGGCCTCCAGCTCACCTGCTTCTCCTGGGGCTCTCAAGGCTGCCGCTATCTGCCCTCTGGCCCTCTGTGGGGAGGTTCCCTCAGTGGGAGGTCTGTGCTCCAGGGCAGGGATGACTGAGATAGAAACCAAAGGCTGGCAGGGAAAGGCAGCTTCCAGCCCTGAGAGGTACAGGCAGCACCATGGAGTCACAGAGCCACGGAGCCCCCAGTGTGGGCACGTGAGGGTGCTGTGCCCCTGGCAGACCCAGCCCTGATGGGGAAGCCCACCCGTCCCACAGCCCAGGTCTGCAGGGACAGCGGGCACAGAAGCTGCCAGGCTGTGCTCCATGATCCTCATCCCTCCAGCAACATCCCCTCCACGGTGGGGAAACTGAGGCTTGGAGCACCACCCAACCCCCTGGAAACAAGGCGGGGAGCCCAGGCATTGTGTGTACCCTGGCAGAACCTGGGCACGGGGATCAGCCAGAGATGCCAAACCTGAGTTGCAGCCTGCAGGAGGACCTGGCCCCACCCAGGCCATTCGATTAAGCGCCATCCCTCTCCTGTGGACATCTCTCCCTAGCGCCACCAACAGCTTGGCTTCCCAGGGCCTCAGCCATTCAAGGAAGGAAAAAGGCTGGGCCTGCCAGGGGCACAGCAATCTCCCTTGTCCCGGCTAAGACAGGGTGGGCAGACGGCTGTGGACACGACATATTGCTGGGGCATCTGGCTCTGTGACTACTGGGTACTGGCTCTCAGTGCAGACCCTGCCAAAATCCCACTGCCTCCCCTGCGAGGGGCTGGCCTGGTCTCCTCCTGCTGTCCTAGGAGGCTGCTGACCTCCACGATGACTCCCGTCCTCAGTTCCAGGCCCAGAGCAGATCCCAGGCAGGCTGCAGGCTGAGAAGCCACCCCTGTCCTTGCCGGGGTTCAGCGCAGTTACCCAGGGCAGGAAATGGCATGAACACAGGGATGACCAGGCCATGCCCTACCTGAGTCCGCCCCTCCTGCTCTGCACCCCCCACTCCCCAGGCCAGCCCATGACATCCAATAACCCAGCACCAGAGTCACTGCCTGGCGCTGCCCTGGGGAGGATCCCTCAGCCCCCACGCTGTCTAGAGGACTGGGGAGGACAGGACACAGGCCCTCTCCTTACCGTTCTCCCATCTGGCTCCTGCCGGGAGCCAGGGTGTGGACAGAAAGGACGCCTGCCTGACTGGCCTCCAGGAGCCAGGAACTTCTCTCCAGGGACCCCAGCCCGAGCGCCCCCTAACCCAGGACCCAGCCCTGCCCCTCCTCCCCTCTGCTCTCCTCTCATCACCCCATTCGAATCCTGAATCCCCAGGAAGCCATCAATCAGGAAGGGCTGAGGGAGGAAGCGGGGCTGCCGCACCACCGGGCGGGAGGCTCCGTCTTCGTGAATCCAGGGAAGTGCCAGCCTCCTAGAGGGTATGCTCCACCCTGCCGAGGGCTCACACAGTGGCAGGCTGTGGGGAAACACCAGCGACAGTGTCGGGGAGGGCTAAGGGCAGGTGCTCCTCTGTCCTCAGTGAGCAACCGCCACCCTGGACCCACGGACCCACCCACCTCCTCTCCACCCAGGCAGCACACTGGCCACAGGTCGTCCACACCATCCTAAGTCCCACCTACAACAGAGCCAGCAGAGCCAGTGCACACAGAGGCTGGGGTGCAGTGGGGGACAACAGGGCAGCTTGGGGAAGGGAAGGATGAGGGAGGGGAAGTCAGTGAAGAGGCCCCCCTCCAGGATCCTCCTCTGGGAACCCCGGATCCCCCCGCTCCAGGCTCTGGGAGGACAAGCAGGATGGGAGATTCTCTGCGGGACCCTCTCACAGTGGAATACCCCCACAGCGGCCCAGGCCAGACCCAAAAGCCCCTCAGTGAGCTCTGCACTGCAGTGCCGGGCCTGGGGGCAGCCCCTCCCAGACAGGACAAACCCAGTACCGTGAGGAGGTCCTGCCAGAGGGAGCCCAGAGCCGTGGAGGAAGGGTAGGGGCCCCCGATACAGGCAGACGTCAGCTCCACGCGGGACCGCCCAGCCCCCGGCCTGAGAGGAACGCCTGTCTGCAGCCCCTGCAGGCCCGGAGGCAGCTGGCCTCTGCCTCAGACCCCCGACTCCAAACACCAGACAGAGGGGCAGGCCCCCCAGAGCCAGAGTTCAGGGATGCCCTGTCAAGGCCAGACCAGACCAAGGGGCGCTGAGCCCAGCAAGGGAAGGCCCCCAAACAGACCAGGAGGTTTCTGAAGGTGTCTGTGTCACAGTGGGGTATAGCAGCGGCTGGTCCCACAGTGACACTCGCCAGGGCGGAAACCCCGTCCCAAGTCAGCAGAACCCAGAGAGAGCAGGGACACGTTTAGGATCTGAGGCCGCACCTGACACCCAGGCCAGCAGACGTCTCCCCTCCAGGGCGCCCTGCCCTGTCCGGAATTTCTGCAAGAACAAGGGCAGCCTGAGGGGGTCTGGGGACAGGAGATGGGTCCCCTCTACCCTGAGAAGTAGTTAGGCAGGACCCAAGCACCCTCCCCTTTGAGGCCGACCTGCCCAGAGGGGCCTGGGCCCGCACCACACACTGGGGCGGAATGTGTGCAGGCCCCGGTCTCTGTGGGTGTTCCACTAGCTGGGGTTCCCGGTGCTCGCCCCACACCTAAAACGAGCCACAGCCTCAGAGCCCCTGAAGCAGTCCCCGCCCAGCAGCCCAGCCCCCACCCAGGAGGCCCCAGAGCTCAGGGAGCCTGGTTGGATTCTGAACAGCCCCGAGTCACGGTGGGTATAGCTGGAATGACCACTGTGAGAAAAGCTGCATCCAAAACTGTCCCGTGGCCACTGCCGGAGGCCCAGCCAGAGAGGGGAGCAGCCGCCCGAACCAACGTCCTGCCGGCTCCCGTGACCCCCGGCACCCGGAGCCCCACGGTGTCCCCACTGGATGGGAGGACAAGGGCCGGGGGCTCCGGCGGGTCAGGGCAGGGGCTTGATCCCATCCTTCTGCCCTGGACCCAGGGCTCCTGGCGGGAGCTGACCCTTCTGCAAGTGTCCTCAGAGAGACGGGGATCAGCGGCTCCTCCCAACATCAACCCCAGGCAGAACAGGCACAAACCCACATCCAGAGCCGACTCCAGGAGCAGAGACGCCCCAATACCCTGGGGGACCCCGACCCTGATGACTCCCCACTGGAATCTGCCCCAGAGTCCACCAGGACCAAAGGCCCTGCCCCATCTCTGTCCCTCACTCAGGGCCTCCTACAGGGCGAGCGCTTGGGAGCAGACTCGGGCTTAGGGGACACCACTGTGGGCCCGACCTCGACCAGGCCACAGGCCCTTCCTCCCTGCCCTGGTGCAGCACAGACTCTGGGGTCTGGGCCGGGAGGAACTTCTGGCAGGTCGCCAAGCACAGAGCCCCCAGGCTGAGGTGGTCCCAGGAAGACCCCCAGGAGGTGGCCCACGCCCCTTCCTCCCAGCTGGACCCCATGTCCTCCCCAAGATAGGGGTGTCATCCAAGGCAGTTTCTCCATGGGGCCTCCTTCAGGCTCCTCCCCAGACCCCACTGGGCCTCAGTCCCGGCTCTGGGAATGCAGCCACCTCAGGCACCCCAGGCAGCCCAGGCCCAGTCACCCTGCAGTGCCCAAGCACACACCTTGGAGCAGAGCAGGGTGTGTCTGGGAGGGGCTGTGCTCCCCACCCCCACCCCCACCCCCACCTGCACACCCCACCCACCCCTGCCCAGCAGCTCTACAGGAAGGTCAGAGCCCCCATGGGGTATGGACTTAGGGTCTCACGTGCTTCCCCTGAAGGGTCCTCATGCCCAGATCCCCACAGCAATGCTGGTCACAAGTGGACGCAGTGGCCCCAGAAACACACTGATCTGCCCCTCAGGTTCCTCCAGCCCCGGCTGCCCTGCTGTCCCTGGAGGCCTGGGCTCCACCAGACCACAGGTCCGGGACACCGCCCACAGGAGCCACCCACACAGCTCACAGGAAGAAGAGAAGCCCCAGACCCACAGGGCCAGGACCTGCCTTGCTACCACTGCTTCCTGCCCCACACCACAGCGCCCTCCCCCTTCCACTTACACACAGGACAGGAAGCTGTTCCCACACAGTTCAACGCCAAACCGGGACCACCTGGCACTCAGGTCACTGCCGTTTCCTTCTCCGTTTACTCCCAGTGCCTCTGTGCTCCCTCCCTCCTCCCTCCTTCGGGGGAGCACCCTGTGCAGCCCCTCCCTGCAGCCCACACCCTGGGGACATCCGACCCTGCAGCCCACACCCTGGGGAGACCCGACCCTGCCTCCAGCCCTTTCTACCCCATTGCTCTTGCCGCCCACAGACAACCCTGGGGTCCTGTCCCTGCAATCCCCACCCTGGTCTCCACCCAGACCCCGTCCCTCCCTGCAGACACCCCTACTAGGCCAACCCTGCACCTGCAGGCCCTCCCCTGTTCTGCTGCAGAGCATCAGTTTCTCCCGCCTGTGCCCACCACCTGCCCCCTCCTGCCCAAAACTTGAGCTCTTCCTCTCCTGGGGCCCCTGAGCCATGGCACTGACCTTGCACTCCCACCCACACACTGCCCATGCCCTCATCTTCCTCCTGGCCACTCCAGCCCCAATCCCCTCTCAGGCCCGGCTATTGTATTTCCAGGACAAAAGCTCACCCAAGTCTTTGCCATGCAGGCCTGGGCCCTTGCCCTCACTGCCCATTTACAGGGCAGCCTCCTGTGCACAGAAGCAGGGAGCTCAGCCCTTCCACAGGCAGAAGGCACTGAAACAAATCGGCCTCCAGCGCCTTGACGCACGTCCGCCTGTGTCTGTCACCGCCCGCACCTGCAGGGAGGCTCGGCTCTCCCTTCAAAGACGAGGGATCCAGGCAGCAACATCACGGGAGAATGCAGGGCTCCCAGACATCCGGGTCCTCTCACAGGCCTCTCCTGGGAAGAGACCTGCAGCCACCACGGAACAGCCATGGAGGCCGCTGGATAGTAACTGAGTCAGTGACCGACCTGGAGGGCAGGGGAGCTGTGAGCCCGAGCCCAGACCGCAGGGACAGAGACCAGCCGCTGACGTCCCGAGCCCCTCACTGGTGGCCCCACAACACCCCGTGGAAAAAGGACAGACCCACAGTCCCACCTGGAACAGGGCAGACACTACCTAGCCCCCAGCATCAGCTCCAAGAAACACCAGGCAACAGCATCAGCGGGGGCTCCCGAGAAAGAGAGGAGGGAAGGTCTCCTCCACCAGCAAGCGCTTGCCTTGACCAAAAACAGGGTCCACGCAACTCCCCCAGGACAAAGGAGGAGCCCCCTGTACAGCACTGGGCTCAGAGTCCTCTCCAAGACACCCTGAGTTTCAGACAAAAACCCCCTGGAAATCACAGTCTCAGCAGGAGAGCCGGGCCAGAGCCAGCAAGATGGGACTCGGTGACACCGCAGGGACAGGAGGATTTTGTGGGGGCTCGTGTCACTGTGAGCATATTGTAGTGGTTGCTATGCCCACAGTGACACAGCCCCAGTCCCAAAGCCCTACTGCAAATGCACCCACTTCTGGGGCTGAGGGGCTGGGGGCAGCGTCTAGGAAGTAGGGCCTAGGGGTGGCCATCAAGTTCAAAACACACCAGACTCCCCCAAAGACATCACCCCACCGGCCGGCGAGCAGAGTAAACAGAAAATGAGAGGCAGCTGGGGAAGCTGGCACAGGCCCCAAGGAAAGAGCTTTGGCCAGTGTGCAAGAGGGGATGCAGGCAGAGCCTGAGCAGGGCCTTTTGCTGTTTCTGCTTTCCTGTGAAGAGAATTCCATACTCTGGAGTTTGGGATGAATGGCTGGGAGTGAGCCCTGGAGGACAGTCTGTGGGAAGGGCAGGGGGAAGGAGGAGCAGCCTCTATCCTACACTGTCATCATTCGAAAGTTTGCCCTTTGCCCACACTGCTGCATCATGGGATGCTTAACAGCTGGTGTAGACACAGCTGAAGATGGAATCCGTGAGATGGATTTGCAGCACAGATCTGAATAAATTCTCCAGAACATGGGGCAGCACAGAAGCAAGCACACAGAAAGTGCCTGATGCCAGGGCAAAGTTCAGTGGGCACCTTCAGGCATTGCTGCTGGGCACAGACACTCTGAAAAGCACAGGCAGGAACTCCCTGTGACAAAGCAGAACCCTGCAGGCAATGCCAGCCCCAGAGCCCTCCCTGAGAGCCTCATGGGCAAAGATGTGCAGAAAAACTGATTGTCATAGCCCCAAACTGAGAATGAAGCAAACGTCCATCTGAAGGAGAACAGATGAATAAACGATGGCAGGTTCATGCAACGCAAACTAGGACAGTCACAAGGATAAGAGTACAGGGTTATGAGCGACTCTGTGGTTGAGTTCATGACTATGCTGAGTAATTAGAGTAACAATGGAAACTCCAAAAAATACTTTCAGTGTGATTTCTTCTAAATAAAATTTACACCCGGCAAAATGAACTATCTTCTTAAAGGATACGTTTCCCAGTTAAAAAACCATAAAAGAAACCAAGAACATGATAATCACATAATCAAAGTAGTGGTTACTTCTACTGGGGAAGGAAGAGGGTATGAACTCAGACACACAGGGTTGGCAAGTCTCCTAACAAGAACAGAACAAATACATTACAGTACCTTGAAAACAGCAGTTAAACTTCTAAATCGCAAGAAGAGGAAAATGCACACAGCTGTGTTTAGAAAATTCTCACTCCAGCACTGTTCACAATAGCAAAGACATTAACCCAGGTTGGAGAAATAAACAATGATGCAGGCAATTGCACAACGATACAGACATATATTTAGTATATGAGACATCTATGATGTTTCCCCGAAGAAAAGACTTTAAAGAGGAAAGGCCTGATGTGTGGTAGCACTCACCTCCCCGGGCATCCACAACAGGCTGCAGGCTCACCGTGTGGCAGGGCAGGCCGGTACCTCCTGGCAGCTCCTGGGGCCTGATGTGGAGCAAGCGTAGGACCATATACCCCCGAGGACGTATACCGCCGAGGACAGCACAGTCGGTGCATTCTAGAGAGAAGCAACTCAGCCACACTCCCGGCCAGAGCCCGAGAGGGACGCCCATGCACAGGGAGGCAGAGCCCAGCTCCTCCACAGCCAGCACCACCTGTGCAGCGGCTGCCATCTGGCAGGCACAGAGCGGGGGCTGGGAGGAGGGGCAGGGACACCAGGAAGGATTTGCACCAAGAGAAAACTACAGAAGCCTCACATATCAACCTCAGCCTTTCCTGATCTGGGCCTCAGCTGACCTGGGCTTCACCTAAGCTCGGCCTCGCCTATCACCTATTAGGAGCTTCACCTGACCTGGACCTCAACTCACCTGGACCTCTCCTGACCTGGGTTTAACCTGGCCTGAAACTCACCTGCCCCAAATTTCACCTGTCCTGGGCCTCACCTGTCTGGGGCCTCATTGGACTGGAACTCACCTGGCCTCGGGCCTCACTTGTACCAGCTCCAGGTCTTGCTGGAACCTGAGTAGCACTGAGGCTGCAGAAGCTCGTCCAGGGTTGGGGAATGACTCTGGAACTCTCCCACATCTCACCTTTCTGGGTGGAGGCACCTGGTGGCCCTGGGAATATAAAAAGCCCCAGAATGATGCCTGTGTGATTTAGGGGCAATTTATGGACTCGAAAGGACATGGCCATGGGGCGGGCAGGGACAGATGCCAGCCTGAGGTGGACCCTCAGGACACAGGTGGCCACGGACACTGTCCACATAAGCGAGGGGCAGACCAGAGGGTCCTGCAGCAGACCTGAGAACGCTGGGCCCACAGTCTCCCCTCGGGGCCCTGCTGCCTCCTCAGGTCAGCCCTGGACATCTCAGGTATCCCCAGGCCTAGCGGTAGGATTGGAGTGAGGTCTGTGTCACTGTGGTATTACGAGGATGATTACGGGTTACTATTACACCCACAGCGTCACAGAGTCCATCAAAAACCCATTCCCGGGAGCCTCCCGCCACAGCCCTCCTGGCAGGGGACTGCCGCGTGCCATGATAGGATATTGATCAAGGACACAGCACCATGGGTGTGGTGGCCACCACAGCAGTGCAGCCCGTGACCCAAACACACAGGGCGGCAGGCACGATGGACAGGCCCACGAGTGACCACCGTGAGATCCTGCCCGCCAGCCCCAGAGACCATGAAACAGACAGCCAAGGTCACCCCACAGGTCAGCCAGACCTTGCTCCAATGGGTCCGTACAGCTGCCGCCCTCCAACCCCAGTCCAGATGGGGACAGGGCCGGCCCCACAGCACCATCTGCTGCTGTCCGGCCAGTGGTCCCAGAAGCCCCTCCCTCAAGGCTGGGCCACGTGAGTGGACCCTGTGAGCCCCCCATGTCTGAGTAGGGGCACCAGGAGAGCAGGGCTGATCCTGTGCACTGTCCCTGCCCCTGTGGTCCCTGGCCTGCCCGGCCCTGACGCCTGAGCCTCTCCTGGGTCACTTCCAACACAGAAGACATTCCCAGGGACAGACGGAACTGGGCATCGCTCATCCTGCCCGGCCATCCTGAGTCCTGCTCGTTTCCAGATCTCAATGGGGAAGCCAACAGAGGACTCACCCTCACAGTCAGAGACAAAGAACCTTCCAGAAATCCCTCTGTCCCCAGTGGGCACCCTCTTCCAGGACAGTCCTTGGTGGCATCACAGTGGGAACCCACATCTGGATCAGGACGGCCCCCAGAACACAAGATGGCCCATGAGGACAGCTCCACAGCCCAGCCCTTCCCAGACCCCTAAAAGGAGTCCCACCTCCTGCACCTGCCCCAGGGCTCAAATTCCGGGAGGCCTGACTCCTGCACAACCTCTGGCCGGACGTCATCTCAGCCCCTCCTGGAGGGGACAGTGAGTCAGATCCACCTGCCCTGGATGGCAGGCGGGGAAGATTCAGAAAGGCCTGAGATCCCCAGGACGCAGCACCACTGTCAATGGGGGCCCCAGACGCCTGGACCAGGGCCTGCGTGGGAAAGGCCTCTCTGGCCACACTCAGGGGCTTTTTTGATGGGCCCTCCTACTATGTGACTACCATAACTACCACAGTGATGAACCCAGTGGCAGAAACTGGCCAGAAACACAAGGTTTATGCACACTTCTCGGCTCAGAGCTCTCCAGGACCAGAAAAGCCAGGTCTGAGGGTTTGTGCCCAGACCCTCTGGGGACACCCGGGCCATCTCAGCCCATGGGCTGGTGTCCCGCACACCGTGTGCCCCCAAACAGGGGCTTCAGAGGGCTCTGAGGTGACCTCACTGATGACCACAGGTACCCTGGTCTCTTCCCTGCCAGCTGCACCAGACCCTGTTCCGACAGCTGTCCCGGTTCCAACAGCCAATTCCTGGGACCCGGAATCCCTGTAGACACCAGCCTCGTTCCAGCACCTTCTGCCAATTGCCTGGATTCCCATCCTGGTTGGAATCAACAGGGCAGCGCCCCCCAGGCTCCCAACAGGCAGGACTCCCACACACCCTCCTCCGAGAGGACACTGGGCTCCGTAGGGCCAGGCCCCAGACAGTCCCCCTCACCTGCCACTATAGAAATGTCTGCCTTTGACGTCCCCACCTCGCAAAGACCATTTATAGAGTCCCCAGCCCCTGATACAATACAGTCATAGAGAGAGTCCCTGAGGGACCTAAGAAGGGACCCATGCCCAGTTCTGCCTGGACCCTCAAACAGGCTGACAGGAGTGGACACTGGAGCTGGGCCTGCACTGGGTCGCATATGAGCTCACCAGTGAGGAAAACAGGAGAGCACATGACGGGTGAGCACCCAGCCTCCTGCTGACCGGAGGCCTGTCCCAGAGCCCAGGAGGCTGCAGAGGCCTCTCCAGGGGGACACTGTGCATCTGGTACTTAAGCAGCCCCCCACCTCCCCAGCCCTGGGGGCCCCTGGCACAGCTGTCTGGGCCCTCCCTGTTCCCTGCTCCATAGGAAGCTCCTCCTGACAGCTCCGCCTCCAGTTCCAGGTGTGGTTATTGTCAGGGAGTGTCAGACTGTGGTGGATACAGCTACGGTTACCACAGTGGTGCCGCCCATAGCAGCAACCAGGCCAAGTAGATGGGCCCCTGCCGCACAGCCTCAGGCCTCCAGCTCACCTGCCTCTCCTGGGGCTCTCAAGGCTGCTGTTGTCTGCACTTTGCCCTCTGTGGGGAGGGTTCCCCCAGTGGGAGGTCTGTTCTCAGCATCCCAGGGCCTCATTCCTGCAAGGAAGGCTGATGGCTGGGCACCCTCACATGCCGTAGCTAAGATACGGTGGGTAGCCTGGCAGCAGACAGGACATATTGCTGGGGCATCTTTCACTGTCCCTAGTGGGGCACTGGCTCCCAAACAACACAGTCCTTGCCAAAATCCCCACTGCCTCCCCTGATAGGGGTTGGCCTGGTGTCCTGCTGTCCTAGGAGGCTGCTGACCTCCAGAATGGCTCCTGTCACCAGTTCCAGGGACAGAGCAGATCCCAGGCAGGCTGCAGGCTGG